TAGCATTTATCAAATTCCTTTGTGTGTGGATCATTTCCAGTAATCTCATGAATGCCAGCTTTTAGTCCCTCATGGAACAGAGATGAGAAGTTGGTAAACTTGATTAACTCCAAACCCCAGCACCCAGGTTCTTAGAAAATATTCCTTCTTAAAAACTGTCTCTGCTTTTTTTTTTTTTTTTCCTGTTTTGTACTTTATTTGTCCCCATGGTAAACTGGTTCATGTGAGAAATTCTGTGTGCAGGAAAATAGGCAATTCAATAATTCAAAGGGCTTCCCCCTAACCATATGAAGTTGCCTTAAGCAGTTCTGTCAAAAATAATTTAATTGCTCAGAGCCACGTTCCATCTCCAAAGATGTCAGACAATCGTTTCCTTCCAGTGACAAAAACAAGCCCAAAGCTCATTCGTCTAGAAAGTACTCCCTACAAATCATGCTATATACATTTTTTTGAGTGATTTGGAGACTTCTTGCACCAGTGTTTGTGGCCATGTTTCATTAGAATGTTTGGCTTTTGTTTGGCTTTTGTTTCAGGAACCTATCCTAGAAAGCTGAGAGGATACCCAGAATGAGAGCTGTGTTTTAAAAATGAGTATCAGGTCAAATTGCTATGGAGGAATTGAAGAATAATTGGGCTATGCATGTCATTTTTTCAAGAAGACAATTCATGATTTCTCTTTTTTAAACTTGCTTTTTTTTCCCTTCAATTCGACATTTTGTGCCTGGCTGCCTTAAAAGTCTCATGTTTCTGTAGTATATTTGGACTACAAATTGAGGGCCCAGAGGCAAAAGTTAGAAATAAATACAGTTTGTACTATGCAGAAAAGCAGCAGAGCTCTGCTCCAAAGAATTGCTCATAAGCAGGTAATTATTTTTTCTAGAGAATGGAACATTCTATGAGGCATGAAAGTTGTTACATAAATCAACTATCTCTGCTCCCACTAGCTTTCTCTTTGTGACAGCCACACCCACTCGGTGCAAAAGTGGTGCTGAATCAACTTCTATGGAGACCGAATTACAGAGTCAATCTATGCACTGTGGGATCATGGGCCTGTGCGATCAATTACTTTGGCAATAACTTTCTTTTTTTTTTTTTTTTGAGACGGAGTCTTGCTCTGTCGCCCAGGCTGGAGTGCAGTGGCCGGATCTCATGGCAATACTTTCTACTCCATGTGAACTTTTCAGCCCCCATATCACTGTTTTAGGGCTTGCCAAAACTAAGAATAATTCCTCGTTTGTCTCGATGGCATCTTCCTTTTATTCTAACATGATGAAAATTACTGGATGCCAGGAGACAAGAGTGTTGTCCCTTTATCCCCCATCACATGAAGGGTCACTAACATGAAGTGCTCTTGCCTCTGCCAAAAGGTGGTATTCTTCCCTGTGTAAAGAGTCCTGGGTTGTGGAGGAGATGACTCCCTCCATACAGGGCCTGATGATAGGGTTTGCCCACTCCCAAGAGTAAGACTGTGGCTCCAACCTGACACACAATTCCAAAGGCCAGGGGTGGTGCGTCTCCTTTCACTACTCCTGGATCCATAGGTAGAGAGATTATTTTGGTCTGGATGTTTACTTTTCCACAGACCATAAGGCAATAACTACACAAATCAATTTTAGTCCACATCAGAATCTACCCTGCCAGGAAAGAAGTTCTTGACATTATCTGTCACAGTAATCGAAGCATGTCCATGTTTCCTTATTTTAATTTTTGTATCACCTCCAAGTAGCAATGTTTCCAACTCGGTCCCCGAGCATGAAACCACCTGCTTGGGTTTTAATTTATGTTATCCTTTTAGTTCTCCCCATTCCACCTGCAGCGAGCAGAAATAAAAATCTAGCCACCTGCTAAGGATTCTTCCTTAACTGTACATAAACCTGCCACCTTTATATAATAAAAGAAAAAATGATTGTGCACTTTAAAAGCCTGGTGAAGACAAGAGGAGCTCAGAGAAGGGGCTCACCCCCAGCCCGCAGTCCCTACCCATTTGCAGCCCCCATCCATCTTCCAAAGAGATGCTATCTGCCAGTGTGCAGGGCGAATTGAAAATGGGATATGACAAGACTGTGAGAGGAAGCAATTTCCAAGATCAGTTCCACTGAGACAGACTCAAAAGTGAAACCCTTGGGGCTACGCTATTATGACCTTTAACTAAAAATGGTGGCAATGGATCTCTCTGGGCCTGTATGTTCTTGTGCATAAAGCACCTTACTCAACATAGTAGACAATGATCAGACAAGGGCAGTGTGTGCATTTCAAGAAGCCTACTTCCAACACAGCCTCAACAATCTGTTATTTTTAGAACATGACTAGGAATCATCTTCAACTGCCCAATTTCTGTTTCCTTCTAATCAGCCTCTTGAAAGACAGTACTGTATTCCTAAAGCAGAATGTTAGAAGCACACAGAATACTAGGAGAGACAGCACGGTCATTGTTAGGAGGGCTTAAAAGAAAGAAAGGGCAGGCGATAGTCTCTGGGCCAGTCTTGGCACGGGTCAGGAGTCACATAGGGAAAGTTTACCAGTTGGAGAACTTTCTGTTGTGCTGAGGGTCATCACACAAGGTCTGAAAATGGAACAAGCCCGGGAGTAGATGTGCTGTGTATACAGCAATGTGGAAATCACAGCCACAGGTGAAGCATTTGCCTGTAATGACCATACTTGCTCAGTTTGCCATAACATACATAACATATGTAAATTAGCATTTAATATACACCTATTAGGGACAAAGATCTGAAGTTGTGTGGACTCTAAATGGAAAAGGTACTATGATTGAAAAATAATAGTCTAGGGCCTGGCGCGGTGCCTCACGCCTGTAATCCCAGCACTTTGGGAGGCCCAGGTGGGTGGATCACCTGACGTCAGGAGTTCAAGACCAGCCTGACCAACATAGTGAAACCCTGTCTCTACTAAAAAATACAAAAAATTAGCTGGGCCTGGTGGTTGGCATCTGTAATCCCAGCTACTCAGGAGGCTGAGGCATGAAAATTGCTTGAACCCAGAAGGCAGAGGTTGCAGTGAGCCAAGATTGTGCCACTGCACTCCAGCCTGGGTGACAGAGACTCCGTCTCAAAACAAAACAAAAAAAAAGAAACAGTAGTCTAGCCGAGGAGGCAAGATTAAAAGAAATAAGCACACACAATCATAATACACATCAACAAGTATATGATCATTTACTGTTGGCAAGGTCCTTGGGACTCAACCTACAAAGACCCACTTATTGAAGAAGAAACTGGGACATTTTTGGTTCTCCATTACCTTACCTTGCATGGTTTAATGGGATAGCCTAAGAAGAAAACCCAATAATCCTAGAAATCACAAGGACTGTTGAGAGAAAAGGGCATTTCAAAACGGCCACACTTCGTTTCCGCGTTTGTTTTTATTCCTAAAGGTTAATTAGAAATTATACATGCATTTCAAATTTTCTTAGAATGTAAGCTACCAAAGGGCAAGGATGCTTTCATTTTCTCTTTCTGCAACTCTTCCTTGTATGAGGACTTAGCTCTGTATCTAGCAAATAATGAAGGGTGATCAAGCAAAAGCCAGTACACTGCAAGGAAATGCATTCTAGAGACTCATACTTCTGCACTTACTTTATTTTTTAAAATTCTGTACTCTCAGGCCCTAAAATCCCATCCACTGAAATGGGATCTAGAAGCATTGAGGCAGCGTCTTGTCCTGGGTGCAAAGACTTGGTGGGAGGCCCTGAGAAGCTAGGGAAACTCAAGGACTGTGAGTGTCTGCCAGTGGGCAGAGAATGCTGCAAGATCAGGGCATCAAAACCAACTGAGCGTGTTTCTTGTAGAATCTAAGATAGTCAAACTCTTAGAAATAGAGAGTAGAATGGTGGTTGCTAAGGTGGGGGAAAAGTGGGGAGATATTGGTCAAAGGTGATAAAAATTCAGTTATACAAGTTGAATAAGTGCTCAGAGTCTAATATACAGTAGAGTGACTACTGTGTTGTCATAATACTGTGTTATATACTGGAAATTTGCTAAGAGGATAGATATCAAGTGTACTCAGTGAAAGAAAGAAAGAAGGAAAGAAAAAGAAAGAAAGAAAGAAAGAAAGAAAGAAAGAAAGAAAGAAAGAAAGAAAGAAAGAAAGAAGAGAGAGAGGGAAGGGAAGGGAAGGGAAGGAAGGAAGGAAGGGAAGGGGAAGGAAGAGGAAGGGGGGAAGGAAGGGAAGGGAAGGGAGGAAGGGGGAGAGAAAGAGAGAGAAGCTAAGGGAGGGAGCAAGGGGGAGCCCAGGGGGAGGAAAGAGAAAGAAAGAGAAAGAAAGGAAGGAAGGAAGGAAGGAAGGAAGGAAGGAAGGAAAGAAAAGAGAGAGAGAGAGAGAAAGAAAGAAACAAAGAAAGAAAGAAAGAAAGAAAGAAAGAAAGAAAGAAAGAAAGAAAGAAAGAAGAGAAAATATGTGAGGTGATAGATAAGTGAATTTGGTTGATTGTAATGATCATTTCACAATGTCTACATGTATCAAAATATCAAGTTGTGTATCTTAAATATATATAATCCCTATTTATGAACTATACCTCAATAAAACTCCCCAAAACATGAAGTGAGCACATTTCTTTACAATTTTCTCCAAAACCAGCCCTGCCTTAAGTACATCAGAAGCTCTGGTATGACACTTTGCCAAACCAAAACCAGGGATTCACCAGCCTCCATTCCCTCTTCTGCACACTGGTAGAGAACACTGAACACCTATAGCCAATAGGCCACTCTCTCTGTCAACCTTGAGCATTTCTCTCTCACCAGTTGGGCTGTATGCTTACTTCAAATCAGTTGTATTTGTTCCCACAGCTGTGTAGGCCAGTTGTGCTTGTCACTTGAATTCTGTAATTTTATTAAAACTGGTAGTTTGTGATGGTGTGGTGGTTTTCAGGCAGGCCGGCCAAGCAGCAGGAAGTACACATCACGCACCACACAGAGGAGGATTTGGAAACGAGGCAAAATGTATAGCTCAGTCAAACAGCTCAGAGGAGACACAGTCTAATTACTCACTCATCCCTGCAGCAGATTCCAACAGTCCCCAGGAAAGCGCAAGACAACACTGCAAGGGCTTCTTCTAAGGCCTCCATGTCTCCACCACTCTTTCCAGCATCTTTAAAAACCACCAGGAGGGAGCTCTGTCACATACCCTGGAACAAGAATTTGAGAATCAGATTTAGGGCCCCGAATTTAAAACTGTATGAAGTCATATGGTTGATTGGAACTTGTTAAAAAAAAAAAAAGTAACTTTTCTTTGGCTTACAAATTAGAGAAGAACATTCGTGTTTATAAAAATGACTAATTAATTCATAGCTATCTCTTGAAAATACTCAAAGGGGAAAGGTCGTTGTTTGCATTTTGAAAATTTAAAACAGCGAAATTTTTAGGATACTAATCCAAAGCTCCATTAACCCAATATTAATGAACATTTCAGCAAGATCGTGTGATGTTTCTTAAAGAAAATGGCATTAGAGGTTTTTTTTTCACATTCAGTATTAAATGTAAAAATAGTATGTCAAAACAATAAATAGCAGAAAATCATTCTGAGTTTAATTTTATCTCACACATATGTGAAATAAATGAAGCGTGATGTGACAATCCAATCGTGGAGAAAGAAAAATAGACTTTGGTAGAATCTTGAGTATTTAAAAATGATTGTTAAAATATGAATATGCCATAGACATTGTACTCAGATTTTAAATGTTCCAAGGTTAGCTACTTACATGACTTCCATTATTAAAGTGCCCTTGGAGTTAGAAATGGAAATATGCTTTTAGGATTATCATCTATTCCTGGGAGGCATCACAGAATTGTTATTTCCAAAGTGTTTCCTTGTTCTTGGTACACTGTAGAGTCTTTTAAGAACAAAGAGTTATTCTCAATTCAAGCTGGACTAAACTGCACCAACTGAACTCCCGCATTATTTCAGAAATTCTGTATTCAGTGGGGAGGATGGAACAAAATAATTAGGATATGGGGCCCAGAGACCTTCCGGGAAAGATATTCTTGCTGTATTCTACAGCTTTTTCTGATGCTTTATTTTTCTCTCTTTTACAATTCCTCCCACCCACTCTTCACGCCAGCAAACAGATGATCCGGGAGAATAAGAATATTGTATGATCACTAGTTAATTTACTTCGGATTGCTTTCCAGGCACCACGAGTCTGACCGCTCAGGGGTTTCTAGTGAAGTTTTGGCAGCTGCTAAGCACAGTTAGCTGCCCATAAGAACTACTGATTCTGCTTCGTTTTACATACATATGTATATGTATATTTACGTATGTATATGACAGGGCATAACTCACCATGACTGGCTTACATTTAGGCTACTGTGTATTGAATCAGACACTGTTTATCACTTTCAAGTTCTAATTTCTGCATCGTGCATATGGTTATTTAAACCCATATAGTTCAATGAAAATGCTCCCATCCTGCACAGACTAGCCTAAAGGGGCACTACATGCAATGCTAGCAGAGGGTAAAAACATGGCACTGGCTCTTTTTTTAAATGACTAGTTTGAAATGGAGGTGATTCATTAATTCAACGTTTATTGAGTGCCTACTAGGCAGCAGGCCATAAGTTAAACTCTGGGGATTATTTTTTTCTTGAGACGGAGTCTCGCTCTGTCGCCCAGGCTGGAGTGCCGTGGCTGGATCTCAGCTTACTGCAAGCTCCGCCTCCCGGGTTTACACCATTCTCCTGCCTCAGCCTCCTGAGTAGCTGGAACTACAGGCGCCCATCACCTCACCCGGTTAGTTTTTTGTATTTTTTTTTTTTTTTTTTTTTTTTTTTTAGTAGAGACAGGGTTTCACCATATTAGCCAGAATGGTCTCGATCTCTTGACCTTGTGATCCACCTGTCTCGGCCTCCCAAAGTGCTGGGATTGCAGGCTTGAGCCACTGCGCCTGGCCACACTCTGGGGATTTTTTAAAAAGAATGCCTGGTAGCTGCAGTAGCTAACACACATCACATTTATGCTCTATGAAAATTCATAATCCAGCTAAGAAATAGACACCCAATCAAGTGTATTGGTGAAAGTGGTATGAAACAAATGCCCACAAAGAGCCCAGAGGAGGGAGGGACATTTGGACCAGGCCTTTGTTGCCCTTCATATATGAATCTTTTTGCAGACACGTCTTCATTGAAAATAGCTGGGTCAAGTGGTAATTTTATTAGAAACTTCCAAACATTTTTCCATGGAGCTGTACCATGTTAAATTCCCACCAGCAGTATATGAATTCCAGTTGCTTCACATCCTCACCAACACTTGACATTGTCAGATTTTAAAATTTTACCCATTCTCATGTATGTAGTGATATCTTGCTGTAGTTTTACTTTACATTTTTCTATTAACAGTTATGTTGAACACCATATTTACATGCTCATTGGCCATTTGGATATCCTATTTTATAAAGTGCCTGTTTAAATCTTTTGCCCATTTTTAAATTGTTTTTTGTCCTCTTTTATTGATTTGGAGAAATTTTGTATATATTCTGGTTATAAATCCTTTTTGGATATATGTATTGCAAATATCTTCTTCCAGAAACGAATATTCTTTTGTACTCAGTAAAGAAAAAAAACAAAAACAAAACAAAAAAACTTCAGGATTACATTTAAGCAAGCACTGTTCATAAGGATAGAATAAATTCTGGCCGGGCATGGTGGCTCACGCCTGTAATCCCAGCACTTTGGCAGGCTGAGGCAGGCAGATCATGAGGTCAGGAGATCAAGACCATCCTGGCTAACATGGTGAAACCCCGTCTCTACTAAAAATACAAAAAATTAGCCAGGAGTAGTGGCGGGCGCCTGTAGTCCCAGCTACTCGGGAGGCTGAGGCAGGAGAATGGCGTGAACCCGGGAGGCAGAGCTTGCAGTGATCCCAGATTGCGCCACTGCACTCTAGCCTGGGCAACATAGCAGACCCCATCTCAAAAAAAAAAAAAAAAGAATAAATTCTACAGGTTTTCTTTACTGCCTGACATACCTACATATGCCATAAATGATATGAAAATCTGATGTGTGATAAGAGACTGAGATTTGACTGGGCGCGGTGGCTCAAGCCTGTAATCCCAGCACTTTGGGAGGCCGAGACGGGCGGATCACAAGGTCAGGAGATCGAGACCATCTTGGCTAACCTGGTGAAACCCCGTCTCTACTAAAAAATACAAAAAACTAGCCGGGCGAGGTGGCGGGAGCCTGTAGTCCCAGCTACTTGGGAGGCTGAGGCAGGAGAATGGCGTAAACCCAGGAGGCGGAGCTTGCAGTGAGCTGAGATCGCGCCACTGCACACCAGCCTGGGCGACAGAACGAGACTCCGTCTCAAAAAAAAAAAAAAGAGTCTGAGATTTAATCATGTATTTGGTGGCTATTCAGTCAGTCATGGTCATAGTAAGCGTTGAACACATATTTGTTGAATAAACTAATAATCGAAAAAAAGGGCTTTTTGAAACTGAATTTTACTTAAAACTAAGCCTCTTAAGTGGAAAAGTACCATCACAGCAGAAATCTGGAAATTATTTCTTAATTAAATCATTTGTTCAATAAATATCTTAGGGTCTAAGAAGTGCAGGATACTTTTGTTAAGCTCTGTAGGGAATGTAAGAAACATGAAAACAATTATTTTCTTTGAATAGCAACTTACACTTTATAAAATGCCCCTAGAAATTGCATTTGAACTTGAAAACTAGCTTCTTGGCCAGGTGTGGTGGTTCACGCCTATAGTCCCAGCACTTTGGGAGGCCAAGGCAGGAGGATTGCTTGAGGCTAGGAGTTCAAAATCAGCCTGGGCAACATAGTGAGATCCTTTCTCTATAAAATTTTTAAAAATTGGCTGGGCATGGTGGCATGCCTGCAGTCTCAGCTACTTGGAAGGCTGAAGTGGGAGGATCACTTGAGCCCAGGAGTTTGAGGTTGCAGTGAGCTATAATCACACCACTGCACTCCAGCCTAGACAAGATTGCAACCTTGTCTCTCCAAAAAAAAAAAAAAAAAAGAAAGAAAGAAAGATGCAGAAAACTAGCTTCTCAAATTCTGCATTGCTTACTTGTTAATTCAAAAAGATACTTGCCACGTGCCTACTACGTGCCAGAACTAAAGTTTTAGGACAAGGTGGACAGCAAATAAATACCTGAATGATGTGATTGCATTAAAACCATAATCTCCCATCCCTCCAACAGTGTTAACCACCTGCCTCCATGATGCTTGTGAACTTTGGACAACCCTCTTCTTTGTTTGCTTTAATTTTACTTGTTTTTTAAAGTGAGACCTTCACGTGGTTCAAAAGTCAAAATGGTATAAAAATATATTTAGAAATCTTACTGGCATCCATAAGCTGGTCTGTCCTCCATCCTTTTGCCTCATTCCTTTTATTAGTTTCTTGCATATGCTTCCAATGTTTCTTTATGGAACTATGTACAAACACATATATGTTCTGATTTCTCCCTCATTCTTACATAGAGCTAACATGTTACATGCTGTTATATAAATGGGCTAAAAGTGGGGGACCCTGGATATTGGTCCCCATGTTGTTTACTTCTTCACAGCAGGCTAGGACAATTAGCTCAAAGCCCTGTGGCACTAAACTCAAATTCATATACATCTGGTTGCCTTAAATGTAGCCCAAATAACCATATTTTTAGCTATTTAAAGCCTGCCTGCCCTGCACATCCCATGAAGCTGTACCCAACATCTGCAAGCCATAGATAAGATGAACCTTGGGGATACGAAAGACACCAAGCCACTGCTGCCCATTCAAGCTCTCTCACCCAAAGACTCCCCACCTTGTTACTGGGTAACATCATCTACCTGCAGGAGCCGCTTCTCCAATTTCCCTCTCCCCTCGGAATGCCCTTGTTCTCCTCCTCTTCTGGGTGGTGGCTCCATGCTGCTCTTTCTAGAAGGTCTCCTGCTGTGAAGAACTTCACTCAGGTATCCCAACCAAGCACCACCCAAACAAAGTTCATTTGTGCTACTGTCATTTTGTGGTCATGTCCTTTCCTTGATCAGTTCTGAATCCTCTATCTCACCATATATACTCTGCCTTTTCATTTTGATTTTTTTTAACTTAACAATATATTCTGGGGAAGACTCCTTCACTCTTTTATACAGCTGCAAATTACTCCACTGCATTTAACCAGTCCCTCCTGATGGTCGATTGGATTATTTCTAGCCTTTTGTTATTACAATGATGCTGCAGTGAATCACCTTGTACATTCATCATTTTGTTCATGTACAGGCAGATCTATAGGATAAATTCCCAGAAGATGGATTGCTGGGTCAAAGGGTAAACAAACACATTTGTATTTTTGAAAAACATTGGCAAATCGTTCCTCTTAGCAACCATACATGAGAGTGTCTGTTTTCCCATAGCCTCACTATTTACCAATCTGTTAGGTAAAAATAAACAAACTTCTAGTCTTGGACTCCTCACACGGTAAAGATTGTTAACATAATATTTGTTAACATGCCTGTCTCTGCCACTGAATTGTGACACCCTTAAAGTCTGGAACCATTTCTTACTCATCTTCATATCCTGTTGCTTAGCTAGCAAAGTTCTTTGGACAGAATAGCTTCTGCCACTTCCCTCTCTCCCCCGCAAAAACATATTTACTGAGTTGAATCAATCACCACTTTAGCCTAGAGAGGCTCCCCCTCAGACCTTCCCATTGTGGTATGTGCTGACCCACTTTCAGCTGACTGCCAATTTCCTCTTGAGGCTGGGCCTGCTCAGCCCACCCACAGAGGGAGGAGAGCCTGAGATTGAATGCACCACCATCCCCAGCAGCTCTCAACCAATGCCTGAAGGGAGATGGTGCTTAAATAGCCAGCAGGCTCTTCCTTTGGGGGCGTACCTCTGAGGCATGGGGTGGTCTATGCTGAGAGCTCTTCGTGGGATGAAGCCCTGTTGTCCCTTTGTCCATAGCAGGAAGTAGCTTGATAATGTACCTTTTAATGGCTTCCCTGCCTTTCCTTCCTTTCCAGGCTCATCTTCTCACTCCATTATTGGAGTTTCCTTGAATCACCTCCCAAGTAAATGACTATCACTTTTTCAGGGTCTTTTCTGGGGGAAACTGAAATAAAGACAATACCTTCCTTTTTCTTTCTTCTTCCTTTTTTTTTTTTTTTTTTTTTTTTTAAATAGGGTCTCACTGTGTCACCCAGGCTGGAGTGCAGTGGTACAATCATAGCTCACTGCACAGCTCACTTGGCCTCCCTAAATCTAGTGATTCTCCAGCCTCAGCCTCCCGAGTGGCTGGGACTACAGGTGCATGCCACCATGCCTGGCTCATTTTTTTTGATTTTTAGTAGACATGAGGTATCACTATATTGTCCAGGCTGATCTTGAACTCCTGACCTCAAGCAATCCTTCCACCTTGGACTCCAGCGATCCACCCACCTCGGCCTCCCAAAGTGGTGGGATTACAGGCATGAGCCACTGTACCTGGCCAGCTTTCTGTTTCAAATAAAGAAACCTAAATACTGAGAAAATAAGTGAAGTGCTCATGGCACAGCTAGTGAGTGAAAAAGCATATTCCCTGGCTCCTAGAAATGTGCTGTTTTAGAAAATGGAATTTCTCTTTATGGATGATAAGTACAACCATTGAGACATGAAAGAGTAATGGAAGAAGTGTGTGTGTGTATGTGTGTGTAAATCTATAACAGCACAAGGTTACATAAAATGAATAGTAAATAAGCGAAACAGCTCTCACCTATGGTGCATATTATGAGCCAGGCAAGTACTTTTTGTGTGTTTATTCATTTAACACAAAACTCTACAAGTTAGATGCATTATTATCATCAGTCCCAGGTCACAGATGAAGAAAATAAAGATACTGAGAGTTTAAGTAACTTGCCAAAGCTCACACTTGCCAAGATCTGACTCCTGGATTTGTGCGCATAACCATCAAACTATACTGTCTGCAGGGGCCGGCCAGAGAAGTTCTAGAAGTGACAGATTACCTTTGGCTTTTGGCAGCAGGGGTCTTGAAGAAAGAACATGGGATTATGCCTAATTAAGGACCAATTATTCCTAGGGCCATCAAAGAACTCATTTGTGTCAGTTAGAATATTTTCCAGGGCAGAAACTAAATATCCAACTAAAAATGACTTAAATAACAGGGGTCTACTGATAAATCTCACATAATAAGAGGTCTGGAGGCAGGAGGTTCCAGACTTAGTTAATTCAGCAGTTAAATGACTTCAAAGCAGCAGTGACTCACATATTCGTTCTTTATGTTCCATCCAATTCCATCTTCTTTGTAGTTCTCTTGATTCTCTGTCATGGTCTTGCAATGGCCCCCTCAGCTCCAAGTAGCAAATATCAGAAAAGGAGGGAGGAACTTTGTCCCAGAATCCCTTGGCAGGTATTCTCTTTGGTCCCATTGGCCAGGAATGGGTCACCTGCTCTAGACACAGGGGAAGCTGGGAAAGTGAGTCTCTGGCATTATCTGTCTCCAGCATGGGAGGCAGGTTCTGCTGGAAACAAAAGAGCAGAAGGATGCTGGCAGTGGGAAGGTAACCAGTCTTGATGCCATATAGCTTAAATCCCATGTTGAAGCCTTCTTTTTGGCTGTGCTGTTTGGAAAAGCCAGAACCCAATGGCTTTGCAAAGATAATCATGGGAAAACAATTCGAGATAGTACTCGGGTTCTGGCCAGAGATGACACCATCTAATGATGTCATATTTCACAGCAGGATGACAGACAGGCCAGAAACCAGGACCTGAAGCAGTCAGTGCCTATTCTGAACTGGGAGGCACCACATTGACCATATTTGGGAGGCCTCAGAGACTGGCTTCCACATCCAGACCAGAGCCAGGACAACTGGGATTGCTGGGCTCAGCCATCAATGGATATTTGATGAGTGTTTATTCTACTTACGGCAGCGTATTAAGCATTTTGGGGAAGGGGTGATGCCAAGATATTAGATGTGCATCCTGACCTCAAGAAACAAATTAAAAATCTAATAATAAACGTGAACTGAGCACTGACTATCTGCCAAGTCTGTTTAAAGCAACTTACATTTCTCTAGACACCTTAAATATACGTCAAATCTTCACAGTAACCCGATGAGATAGGTTATATTTATGATCTTTATTTACCAATATGGAACTGAGGCCAGGAAGGCAACTGAGGCATGGAGAGTTTAAGCAATCTTGAGATTGTTACCCAAATATTTGCTGTAAGGACACACCACATAGGCTCTCCCAGCAGTGCTTAAAACATTTTCTCTAAATTTACGGTGATGAGTTCATCCCAGTTTGCTTGGGACTCTCCCAGTTTTAGCACCAAAGTCCATGTACAGGGACAACCCTCAGTCCTGGGCAAATCAGTATGGCTGGTCATCCTACAAACTATAGGTACACTCAATCTAGATTGCCCTGACAACCCAATTAATGGATAATGGAAAAGGAAAAGTTAGAGAGAGTTTTCCCTGCATTGTCAATTCCCATAACAAAAGCTCCTGTAGTCAGAATAAGACAGTTTCCTTAAACAATGGGTTTTCTTGGAATCAAGAGATTATTGTAACTACCCAAGGGGTTCTTCTTACCCACTGCAATAGGAAAGACCATGGCGTGTAGCAGAGAGTTTAATAGACACAAAGCTGGGCACGCCACGTGGGATACAGAGTTAGTACTCAAATCACTCTTTTCCAAAGCTTGTAGGTTAGGGATCTTTCTTTCTTTTCTTCCTTTCTTTCTTCTTTCTTTCTTTCTTTCTTTCTTTCTTTCTTTCTTTCTTTCTTTCTTTCTTTCTTTCTTCTTTCTTTCTTTCTTTCTTTCTTTCTTTCTTTCTTTTCTTTCTTTCTTCTTTCTTTCTTTCTTTCTTTCTTTCTTTCTTTCTTTCTTTCTTTCTTTCTTTCTTTCTCTCTCTCTCTCTCTCTCTCTCTCTTTCTTTCTTTCTCTTCTTTCTTTCTTCTTTCTTTTTTGAGTCAGAGTCTTGCTCTGTCGCCCAGGCTGGAGTGCAGTGGTGTGATCTCGGTTCACTGCAAGCTCTGCCTCCTGGGTTCATGCCATTCTCCTGCCTCAGCCTCCCGAGAAGCTGGGACTACAGGTGCCCGCCACCACACCCGGCTAATTTTTGTATTTTTAGTAGTGCCTCAGCCTTCCGAGTAGCTGGGACTACAGGTGCCCGCCACCACATCCGACTAATTTTTTGTATTTTTAGTAGAGATTTTTCAAAGGCAGTTTGAGGGAAAGGGTGGGGGTGGCCAGGTAAGGGATGCCTGCTGCTGATTACATGTTGAAATAATATTCCAGATAAATTGGGCTAAATGAAATATTCTAGATATATTGGGTTAAATGAAAGATATTATTAAAATTAATTTTACCCATTTCTTTTACTTTTTTAAATGTGACTATTAAACAAATAAAGTTACATGCATGGCCAGGTGCTGTGACTCACACCTGTAATCCTAGTACTTTGGGAGGCCAAGGTGGGTGGATTGCCTGAGGTGAGGAGTTTGAGACCAGCCTGGCCAATGCAGTGAAACCCTGTCTCTACCAAAAATAAAAAAATTAGCCAGGCGTGATGGCGCACACCTGTAATCCCAGCTACTTGGGAGGCTGAGACAGGATAAGCACTTGAACCCAGGAGGCAGAGGCTGCAGTGAGCCGAGATTGTGCCACTGCACTCCAGCCTGGGCAACAGAGTCAGACTGTCTTAAAAGAAAAATTACATGCATGGCTCACAGTATATTTCATCGGACAGCACTCTTCTAAAAAAGACACTTCTAGAGAGGATATCCCTATTAAGAGGGTTTCTCTTTGTGTAATATTGTTTACAAAACCAAGGTAAACATTAATTAGTTAAAATTCTGTAAACCATGAAAAGATTTGCAAAGGGAACCGCCTTGTCTTGGAGGTGTTGCCTTGAAGCTGCTTAAGGCAGAAATGCTGCCCAGAACACACTCATGCTTTCTTGTGACCAGTGGCTCTAGGCCAAGCTACAATACATGTAAAAATAACTCTGATGAGTTCATTGTTCTTAACTTAAAGTCAAATGGGCTGTTGGCTCTTTTCACATAGTTTGAATCTTTTATGACCAGAAGATACAAAACACATTTTTAAAAGCAGTACCTAATGCAGTCCAAGTCATTTTTTTTTAAAAAAACTTTTGGGTATTGAGCAATTTGGGGCTCTCCAAGGATGGTAATGATGATATTTATATTTGTATAAATATTTTCAAAGTTCTTTACAGTTTTTCTTTAGTATTTCCACTTGAAAATGACTACATATCCCCATGAGGTAATCTGAGCTGTTATTTTATGCACATTTTACAGATGAGACACTGTCCCAGGTCTTCTTAATTCTGTTTAGTGTTCTTTTGGCTACACCCAGTGTGATGGAGCCAGATCCTATCCACTCATGAGAGCCAATTGTGCGTCTCCGCAGAGCTCAGCAGTCACATTATGTTAGTAGTTTGAAATCATCCATGGTGTGAGCATTTATACCATGAGAATTGGCAAAGTCTACATAGTTCGTTTATTTACTTTGTTGTTTGTGTTGTTTATTTCTTGAGTGCCAGTTCCTAAACATTTAATGGCACACCACTAGATACCTCCAAGAATGAGAAAACTTGAGGATTAAAAGACATTTTCTTAGTCTGTTTTGTGTTGCTATAACAGAATACCATAGACAGGGTAATTTATAATGAATAGAAATTTATTTGGCTCATGGTTTGGTTCAGGAAGCTGGGAAGTCCAAGAGCATGGCATCAGCATTTGGCAAGGGACTTCGTGCTGCATCATCCCATGGGAGAAGGCGGAAGAGCAAGGGAGAACAAGAGCAACAGAGCAAGAGGGGGCCAAACTCACTTTAATAACAAACCAACTCTCAAGATAACTAAACCATTCCCATGATAATGACATTAATTCATTCGTAAGGGCAGAGACCTCATGACCTAATCACATCTTATTAGGCCCCACCTCACAACACTTGCATTGAGGATTAAGTTTCCAATACACGAACTTTGAGAGACACATTCAAAACATAGCAGATGCATGTTACAAAACAGGAGCAGAAACACAAGTTCTCTGAGTTCAAGAACTGAATCCTACAGATAGTTTTTTTTTTTTTTTTTTTGAGATGGAGTTTCACTCTTGTTGCCCAGGCTGGAGTGCAGTGGTGCAATCTTGGCTCACTGCAACCTCCGCCTTCTGATTTCAAGTGATTCTCCTGCCTCAGCCTCCTGAGTAGCTGGGATTACAGGTGCCCACCACCATGCCCAGCTAATTTTCGTATTTTGTTTTAGTAGAGATGGGGTTTCACCGTGTTGGCCAGGCTGGTCTAGAATTCCCGACCTCGTGATCTGCCCACCTTGGCCGCCCAAAGTGCTGGGATTACAGGTGTGAGCCACTGTGCCCGGCCAACAGATTTTTTTTTTTAAATGAAAAGATCCATGGTATCTTCAGTTTGTATATTGCAAAAAAATGATGATGCTACTTCTGTAACCTGACAAGGCAAGGCCTAAGCCACTTAAACCTAAGCCAGCAGCAGCCAGCCATCCTACAGAAGAAACGGAAATCACCTTCACTGCTCCAACACAATTGTATGCTTCTGTCTTTCAGTTCTTTCTGTGTCTCTCTCTATCCCTTTTTCTCTTTGTGTGTGTGCATCATACATACACAAATACACACACCACACACGATTTTTACTACATAAGTTACTATAGCAGACTGCTAGAAATTCAAGAAACCAAATAATGCCTTCATTCAAGGAAAGGTGGAATAATATACTTCATTTTCTTTTATGGAAAAACAATCAAGCACTAAATTCACTGATGAAGGGGAAATTATTGAAACTAGAGAGGAAAGGGGATACTGGATGTGAAAAACATCTATATATACCTCAGATAAAATCACTTCAATCATCTGTGATTGTCTCATATCAAATCAAGCCATTTTTTTCCAATTACTTTATTATTCTCCAACAAGAGAGCTAGATTAGATAATCACATATGAATTTCAGATTGTGCTTGCTAACTGACGTTTGCCAATAGCAGTCACTTGAAAAGAGCTGCTCTAAGACAAACTATTCTAAATGAGTGGTTTGGCATGGGGGGGAGGTAGTTTTCTTTTAACTCATCCCTTCCCTCCCCACACATCAATTAACTCAGTAAAATGTTTACCAGATGGCTCTAACTCTAAACTTTGGTTAATTTTCCTCACGTTCACATATGAGACAGCCTGAACATCAGATGGTGCTGAAAACAAAACCAAGAACCAGAAGTCCCAAACTGTAGGACATCAGTCCCCAAGTCTAACAGATCTCAGTCCCTTAGGTCTCAAACTGTAGACCATTAAAGTATGGCTAAATGTTGTGTTTTATTACAATGTAATTATTTTAA